TCTCTCTATCTCTCTATCTCTCTATCTCTCTATCTCTCTATCTCTCTATCTATCTATCTATCTATCTATCTATCTATCTATCTATCTATCTATCTATCTATCTATCTACCTACTGTCTGTCCATCTATTATATTTAAACACTGCTTGCAATTTAAGTTCTCAGGATAGTTCGCTGGATACCATTACAGATGACTTACACCAGTCATTCTCTCTTAGCCTAACCTAAGTTGCAGGGTTTGTTGTGATGATAAAACAAGCGTGCGAATATAATATACCACATGAATAATGAAAACCAGGACAGAAATGCAACAAATAGGCTAATAATACCTTTTTTTATGCTTGTTCATTTCTATAGTATATTTTATGCATTTTAATCACCTTGATCATATTTTTCAGGGGTGTATGTCCTTCTGAAATCTTGTGCACAAAGAGGGTCTCCAGAAGATGCCTGATATAATGTAAACAGTGGCAGATGCAGGCCAAACTGCAGAAATGATCAAGAATAGGAAACAAAGATTTTTTAAAAAAAATCTGATGCTATTCAGGCAGTCATGCTTAAATCTTATCTATTGTAGCAAGGAATCTAAGCACCTTGCTCTGTCCATGATCAGTTTGTTAAGCAGCCTAAAGCAAATCACCCTAATTTTGAAAAGCAGAGATTGTTATAATGCTGATATTTTTTTCATTAATAAGATCATGCAGTTGAAACACTTTGAATATACTAAAAAATAAGTAATTTCAAAGTATTGTTATTAAATGAAGAAATTGTCACCAACTTAAAGGTTCTTCAACTTATTTAACTTGGTTACAGTTACTAAAGGTTGCTGAGAGTATTTTATTGCATCTGCTTTTTATTATGTTCATATGCATTCATACACTGAGATAGTAGTTCCAGAGAAGGCGTGCTCTGGACACGTTTGGCCTATGTGGGTCTGCAACAGTCAAAGTACACATGCATGATTTGAGTTAACAATAAGACCATACAGTTTTATCATTTTAAAAAATCCAGTACATTTCTGCTAACTGTTACCTAGATTGATGCAATTTCCAATTTCAAAAATACAGGGGTACAGAATAGCAAACATAGCTTTTTAAGAGAGTAGAGTATGGAACAAGACAACCATATTAATCGTATCTTTCATCTTATTCAAAATGTGTACATACACACACAACATTTCCCAAATAAATTACTTCAAAAATAAGATAGATAACTATTTAGATTTTATTTTTATTTATTTATGAGTTTATATACCTCTTCGGTCGAGGATACTCTAAGAGTGTTCCGAAACAATAGTCACAGCCAATGCCATAATGATATTAGTGAGGTCATTCATTCGGGGTTCAGTATCATCGGTATGCTGATGATACCCAGCTTTATACCTTGATTCTAGGTTGCACAGGTGAAGCTATTGATGTGCTGTCCCAGTGTCTGGAGGCTGCTCAAATCTGAATAGGGTAGTTCGATCCTGACAAGACTAAGGGTCCCCGAGGTCAGGGACAGTTTCATTATTGGTCTTAAGTAGCACTTCCCCATTTGAGACTGGTATACAACTTGGGTGGTCCTTCTGGACCCACAGTACTGCTTAAAGGGCAGGTGGCAGCTGTATCCAGGAGGGTGTTTGCACAGGTTCATCTTGTGTACCAGTTGTGTCCTTTCCTTGACCAGGAGGCACTTCAGACAATTATTCACATCGCACAAACAGATTATTGCAGCGTGCTCTATATGGGGCTGCCCTTGAAGACCATCCAGAAGCTACAGCTGATTCAAAATATAGCAGCGAGAGCAGTAATGGGTGCTTCTCAGTATGCCCATGTATCACCACTACTTTGCAAGCTGCAATGGTTGCCAGTTGGCTTCCAAGTGCAATTCAAGGTGTTTGTCATTACATATAGAGCCCTTCATGGCATAGGGCCTGGATAGCTGAAGGACCACCTATCTCCAACTGTTTCTGCCTGCCTTGTATGTGCTAACAGAGTGGGTACAGTCCACATCCCCTCTATTAAATGTTGTCAACTTGGGAAGTGTGCCTTCTCTGTCGCACTCCCCTGCCATCCGGAACAGCATCCCCCCAGAGATATGGAGAGCACCCTTTCTCCTGGGGTTCCAGAAAACCCTTAAGACCTGGCTCTGCTCCCAGGCCTGGGGTTAATGTGTTTGCTGGGCCTTTGTGGTGATTTTCTCCTGTAGTTATGGTTATGGTTGTTTCAGTCCAGGCTGCTGGTGTTGTTTTATATTTTTTAATTGTCTTCACTGTTTTCGATTTCGTAAGCCACCTAGAATCTGTTGGAAGAGGCAGCTCTAACAAATCTCAATTAATTAATTAATTAATTAATAATAAATAACAAATACAATTTGAAATTTTGCTAAAAATTGGGAGCTCTACAGCACTTAAGCTCCAAATTTTATGAGGTTCTGGAAAATTAGGGAAATAGGAGCTACCTTTGCTGGGGGGGGGGGGA